AGAAAAAATGACAAGACATTAATGTTGCAAGCTTTTGAAGAAGAAAAGTATTGTTAGGGAAGAATATAATGGTCAAATGTTAAGAACATATTAGTTATATGGCAATTGTGAAAAATTTTGATAAAAAAAGCCAAAAAGCAAGAGATTTCGAGAACCTTTTTACTACAATGAATAATTTTGATTGCATTACATGCATTGCATTTAGAGCACTTAATACATGCATTCATGAGCAGTTATAATAAGGATAAAGACTTTTCATTTCCTAATGAAAAATAAGATTTTGATATTCGGATGAAGATAATAATCAAACAAAAGATTTCAAAAGAGATAAATTTATTTGTTCAAAGATGAGAACTCGATTTAGAGAACATATTGGATTTTTAAAGTTATTGAGCCTCTGATTAGATGAGCTTTTTAAGATAAAATTTTTAAAGTTGTTGAACCTCTGCTGAGAGGAGCTTTTTTTAAGATAAAATTTTTAAAGTTATTGAGCCTTTACTGAAAGAAGCTTTTTTCAAGATAAGATTTTAAAGTTGTTGTGCCTCTGCTGAGAAGAGCTTTTTAAAATAAGATTTTAAAGTTGTTGAGCCTCTACTAAGAGGAGCTTTTTAAAATAAAATTTTTAAAAATTGTTGAGCCTCTACTGAGAGGAACTTTTTAAGATAAAATTTTTAAAAGTTGTTGAGCCTCTGCTGATAGGAGCTTTTTAAGATAAGATTTTAAAATTGTTGAGCATCTGTTGATATGAGCTTTTTAAGATAAAATTTTTAAAGTTGTTGAGCCTCTGCTGATATGAGCTTTTTAAGATAAGATTTTCAAGTTGTTGAGCCTTTGCTGATATAAGCTTTTTAAGATAAAATTTTTAAAGTTGTTGAGCCTCAGCTAAGAAGAGCCTTTTTTAAGATAAAATTTTTAAAGTTGTTGAGCCTCTTTTAAGATAAAATTTTAAAGTTGTTGAATCTCTACTGAAATAAGCTTTTTTCAAGATAAAATTTTAAAATTGTTAAGCTTCTGCTGATAGGAGCTTTTCAAGATAGAATTTTTAAAGTTGTTAAGCCTCGAGTAAGAGGAGCATTTCAATTTGATGAGAAAAGCTTTTTGATTAGTTTAAATAAAAAAAATCTTTTTGTATTCCGGATAAAATTATTATCTTTGTCTTTATCCTATTTCTGATTCTCAGCAATATGCAAAGAGGAACAACTGTAGACACTAAATTTATTTGAATTTTAAGTTAGGATTTTTGGGTTTTTGGGCTGAGGCCTAAGTTCAATTTAATCGGGCTGAGACCCAATTTCAATTTAACTAAGCCCAAAGTCTAATTTCGTTCGGGCCCAAAGCCCATTTTGTTCTTTAGGCCCAACTTACTCTTTTATTTTCTTTATTCCATTTTTTGAAAAATGAAAATGAAAAAAAAACAAATAGAAAAATAAAAAAACAAAAGCTAAAAAACAAAAGGGTCGTTGATAGTGGGTGTCGTACACGGCGCCACTACCACCCCTGTTCACCCCTGTTCTTCCCTGTTCACACCAACACCCTATGCTCCTTGCCATCATGCCCTACCACTGGATAAGATAGAAGAAGCAAAAGAGGGTAGATAGGCTATGCTGGACGGCACCCCCTTTTTGTCAAGCCCTGTGCCACCTGCCCAGGCACAATGCCACGGCGGGAGCTCTATAAATAGAGCTCCTAGCCAACCCCAAAAGAAAGAGGAGGAGACCCTACCAAACAAAAAAAGCATTCTGCCAAACCAAATAAAAAAATCAACTCAATCTCTTGGAACAGGAAACCTAGCACCAAGATCTCCTATAAAATAAGAAGCAAAGTCAGTAAAAACAAAAGGTAAAAACAAAGGTTTGGTCGAAAGTTAAAAAGCAAATCTAAGGGATTTGAAACCTTTTTTGGTAAAAGGGAAGTCAGATTTAGGTTCAGGGAGTCGATAAGAGTATTTTAGGCTCTTTTTTTATTTTTTGGCAGCCGATTATGGTAGCCGACAATTGGCGATCAACCTTCAACGACGACCAACGGTGATCGATCGATCGGGTAGAGAAAGACGGTCTGGGAGGGAGAGAGAATTTTTTTTTTAAGGGAAAAGAAAAAATGAGCTGAAAAAAATTTAGGCTTTTACAGAAACTACCAAAAGCCAAAACAACACCGTTTCAATAAGCGTCAAAACGATGCCATTTTAAGCACCCGGATCTCGCGTCAACCCACCGACTCGACTCACCCTTAAACCCAGATCGATCTAGCTTAACCGACCCAGACCAGTCGAACCGACCTTGAATCGTTAACTAACCAGACCGCAACCAAGTCGTTGAATCAATCGAACCCGTATTAATCGAATCGTTGATATGTCCGGTTCAGGTAAAAATAATTTTTAATTATTTTTTATATATTATTTTATTAATATTTATGCATATTAAAATATTTATATTTGTTAGATTAAATGATGAAATATGTAGTTAAATTTTTTTATAATTTTATTAATCTTTAAAATAAACTTTAAAAATAAAAAAATAAACTTAATAATAATACAAAATTAATAAAAATGGTAAGAAAAGTAAATTTTTACCCAATGATGAGATTCAAATGTACTCCAAGTAGTGATACCTATGAAATCTCTAAGTGAAAAGATTTTTTTTAAATACTACCAGTATGTTGAAGTATTTATAAAAAAAAATTTAATACAATAAAATATTTTTTGGTTATAAAATAATAAAAATTAATTAATAAATTAAGAATAAGTAATAAAAATGAGGAAAAAGAAAAATTTATCCCATTATGGGATTCTAAAAATATTTCAAGTAGAGATGCTTTAAGAAATCACTAATTAAAAAGATTTTTTAAAAATATTATCAATGTATTGAAATATTTATAGAAAATCTTCAATATAATAAAAATTTTTCTTTTTTTCACTTTTTAAATAAAAATAATGACAAAAAATTAATAAAAATTAATAAAATTTTTGAATAAACAAATAAAATGTGTGCATTAACGTATTATTATTTGCATTGCACGCATGACATAGTTTTTGAAAAATAAATTTGAGACTCTGAAGATGAGATTTTAAGGTATTCCGAGAAGCGATGCCTAAGAAATCTCTAGGTGAGAAAGAGTTCTTCTAATGTTACCAATGTACTGAAACATTTTGAGAATTATTTCAATAAAAAAGTTCTAATTTATTTTTCTCGAATAAAGTTTTACTAATAAACTTTTTAATATAACTAAAAAAAACTAATTTTCAATAAATAAAAAAATCAAGAAAACTATTTTTTAAACACCGAAAATAAGACTGTTTTTATCAAAATCAATGAATAACATATAGTTAATTGATACTGTTTTTAAACAGGCGCTGTGGGGTGCTAATCATTCCTCACACGTAAACGACTCCCAAATTCAAATTGTTTCGCAGACCATAAAATTATTTTTTAATAAATTTTAATTAATTTTAAAATCTTATTAAAAGAATAAATTTTAATAGGTGGTCAATTGTATCTAGCCAAAAAAATTGGTGGTGACTTCGATTTTTTTATTTTCGTTTTTCAAATTCGTAAGGTAGCTCCAAAATCGTTACGACAATGAAAACATAAAATATAATTTTTTTTATTTTTTTAAATTCATATATAATTATTGTTAAAAGCTTAAATCGTGTCACCTTCGTATTTTATTTTCATATCGTATTAATATCATATTTTAAATTATTAAACTTACCTATTCTGACTACATGAAAAGCTCCGATAAGGGATCTTATTATAGAAGTTTATTGGTTAAAAAGTAAAAAAATATTTAAATAAAAATTTAATAATAATTTAAATTTTTATCATTTTATTTAAATTAATTAAGCTCTCAATTCTCAAATATTTATTTTCATCATTTGAGTTTTTGTTAGATAAAATAGATTACTTTTAATATTAATATTTATTGAATTTAAAACTCAATTAGAATAAAAATAAATGTTTAACGATTCAATTGATATAAAATAAAAACTTTAAAACTTGATTAATTATAACAAAATATAAAAAATTTAATTAGTTATTAAATTTTTATTGGAAAACTTTTTTACCCTTGTCACTTGCCAAGCTACTTTTTACTGTTGACTCGGTATTGTCCTGTTGCTTAAACGTTACGTGCATCTTTGAAAAGAGCTGAAGCAAACTATTCTTTTACCAGCAGTTGGAATATTTTCAAAGTATAATTATCCTTGGAATCCGTTTGGATGGAAAATTTTATTTCAATCAAAGTATTCAAATATCTTAAATTCGATTGCTTTGTTTTAACTAAATGATAATGGGCCAATTGTTACACCTTACACTTGAACGTGCAAGAAAGCTTGAATAATTTCAAGCCAGCTCAAAATATCATTTCAAAAATTAGTTAATAACACTTTTGATGCTAACAAAGAAAGAAAAGTTTTATTTGTAATTTTTTTTTATCATTTAATGGGACAGAGGCCTATATTAAGAGGGAAAAAAAAATGTTGAGATTCGAATATCAATTTTAATGTCTTTTTTAAGTTTTATTTGTAATTTGATTATTAAATTATATCACTTTTATATCTCAATTTTCATTATATTATAACATTTGCCCCATCTATTAAGTCAATAATATTTTACGTGAAAAAAATCCATTGAATAAAATATGACGTGTGATACATTTTTATTGGTGAATATCTCACTATGAATCAATAAAATGTTTAACAAAACCGAAGTTAAAATAACAAATCATGCATTTTTTTTTCATAAATATCAAATCATGAAAAATAATATATTTCAAGAATCAATTTACGCGTTAACCTAAGAAAAAAGCCAAGGAAAAAGGGCTTCTATTCGAAACATGAGGAAAAAAGGAAAAACGAGAAAAAAATAAAAGCAAATTAGGGTTTTCAAAGGATTTCATAAATCAATCTAGCGGAAAAGGGTGCCGAGGAAGGAAATTGTTTTCCCTCATAACTAAGGTTCTTAAAAATTTGTTTGTCAGTTGTCACAACAATGTTATTACGAGTAGACTTGATTAAAAAGGAAGAGGAAACTGAGAATGAAAAAGAAAAGGAAATGACAAGTTGCCTATCTACTGATATGATTATCATACAGAAAAGAATTGATTGTCATGTGTTTGAGGCATTAGAAATTGAACAATAAGCTGTTTGAAACTAACCACTCCACAAATCAGCTGAAGCAAAAGAACACTTAGCATAAAGCCCAAAATATTTTACCAAGCTTTTCAAGTTAATGTTGCTTTCTTCTTGATGCTATTTCTGAGGCCCAAGCTTTGCCAACTTTTGTCTGGAACTTCCCTGCAAATAAGTTGATTACTCTGATTAAAAGCTGCAATCAAGTTGTTCAAGAATAATGCAAGCTCAATGTATATTTTTCTTCTAAATTATTTAAGAATAACAACTAAGCCTCCTTTTTAATGTTTTGGATTACCACTGGGTTCGGACTCGAAAACCTCAGCTGACTCCAATGCCACTGAGCCAGCCGCTCATTGGTCCACTAAGCATGTTTAGGTTCAAAAATAACCATACTAAGTTATTGCATCTCCTTATGCTATTAGGTTGCCTAAGGTAACAAAATGGGGAAAAAAGAACTTAGTTATTATCAAGAAAGCATTTCACAGTTTCAAGGTTGAAATTTCACAATGAAAGAATGGAAATGAAAAAATTTTGTTTTAATAGGAAGAGGATTCCCCAAAAGAGGTCCTGTAATTAGGACAGTGTACATATACATAAATAAGATCCTTATAATTTCACCTTTTACCAAGTGTGGATATACATACACACTCTTGCGACAGATATAGATAAAATCATTATTTCGAATCCCATATCACCTCCAAAAGGGACAAGAGGATAACCTTCCCATTTGCAGTTCCCACTCTCCCAACTCTCACATGACTCCACAGGTCACAAGTTAAAGAGCATCATTATTCCTAAATTCTAACCTCTCTTTCAATTTTTAAGCATGATTATGCATTTATAAGTTTGTGTTTCTTTCTAAATTTTCTAGCTGCTACTGCCAACATTGTCTTTAAAACCATTATGTATTATAATGGCATATTCTAACAGCTTTTCCTCTTAGCTTCCTTTCACTTTTTTCTCTTTAAGGTGAACCATATTATGCCATGTCAAACAAAATTTAACAGACGTTAATGGCAACCCAAGAGTTAGGTCCAGATTGAACTAATTTTAGGAATTAGAAGGTCAAATGAAAAACAGAGGGCTGAATTAAACATCTAATACCAATAGAGGGGAAAAATTAAGCACCAAATTGGTATTTTAGCATTTTATTTCTTTTAGCATTTTTAATGAGTTAAAATTTATTATAGAAAAATGGAAAAAAAGAAAAACAGGCATGCAAAGGGAAGGCTTAAATTACACACCGGCAGTTGACTGGAAAAACTCATCCAAATCCACTCCTTGTTCTGCAAAAATCCAGAAGGAACTTCATTTTGTAAGGAATATTATTATAATGAGTAATGACTACAGAGATTAGCTAGTGTTAAGTTGAAAAGTAAAAAGTGAAAATTTGAAACATAAATAATTTTAAGAGAGGATATATGTCAACTTAATTCCTTATCTCACTAGATGCATTCCACAGTGTTCAAAATGCATGCACCAAATAAGCCCATCAAATCAGTTATTTGCACTGAAGAACTAGTGAGACACTGCAGTTGCATCTATCAACCAGCCATAAAGCTAGTGTAATGTATGAGGGAGCATATCATCTACAATAATTGCACTACAATTAACCAATTAGACTTTAAAATTATGTAGGGTCTACAAAAATATTATGTGGAGTCCACTCTTATATGTGGTGGACCCTCACATAATTCTTCGTTGTGATTGGACAATTGTAGCATTGTAGTAAAAAGAATTGTAGTTGAAATGCTCCCCATGTATGAAAGTAGGCTTACTTGAAATTTAAGCAAACAAAATAGAACTAAAAAAAAAGTTAGTTGGAAACTGAAAATTTATTATCTGTTAAAATGCTCTTGTTGATCAAACTTAAATCAACTATGTGTTCTGACTTTTCGTTTTCCTTTAAGTACCCATGTTTCACACATATCTGACAGACGTCAATATGGAGGTCTGACCCTCCAAATATATGAAAAAAACTTTGAAAAAATTGAGCATACCCATGTCACACGCATACCCCTATCCAACACTCATCCCCTAGTTATAGTAACATAGCATAAATGAGCATGTAAAGACTAAGATACAGGGGCAGACAAAAATATAAATAACATAAAGACTTCTCAGCAGCATAAAAGAGTCATCTAAGCAGGGTATAAATAATGAAAGAGATGCAGAGGCACATGATGACTGAAGGTCTTGAGAGTGTTAGTCTGTAGTGATAGTGTTAATTTGTTGTCAATACTAATTCATTTCATCTTACTAAATATATCAGCACTGGTTATTCCAATGTTCAGGTTTCAATAGCTCCATTAAAACTAGCCTTTTCCCTACACCGGCCCTTAGTTTTCCACACATTTGTTTTTTTTTTTATATTTTCCCTAGTTTTGTTCTCATTCTTAGCAAGTAATGGTTTATTCTTGAGATATAGTTGAAAATAATTTATGTTCCAGAGGACCATATCCATATGCATGATGTGATTTAACAATGAGATCAGATCTTCACTACCGATGTAAATGAACATATGCAATGATACAAAATAATGAAGGAAATATGCTAAGAACAAAAAGCATTACCATTCTCATATTCTAAGGCTTGAAGTATCATCTCCACCTGCATGTAACAGGAAATGCCAACATCAGATTATACAGACCAGTGATAAAAAATCACCATTAGTTGAAATGTGTTAACTTACATAAGTTGAGCACTAATTGCTATACTCAAAGGAGAAATAAACTGAATTTTAGGTAGAAATTTGTGAATTAAACGTTAATTCATCATACCCAATGAAGAAGATATAAACTGATCAAAAGAAATGAGCAGAATATGAAATGAAAATAGAACAACTTAACTGGGAGCATATCACCTACAATGGTTGTAGTATAGTTATCCAATCACAATTTATAATTGTATGGGGACCATCAAAATTTTAAATGGAACCTACACTTATAAGTGGTGGACCCCTGCATAATTCTTTATGGTGATTGGATAATTATAGTATTGTAGTAAAAAGGATTGTATGTGAAATATTTCCCTTACAACCATACATCAGAATCAAAACCATAGCATTGCTTGTTATATCATACAAGTAACTAAATATACTACTAAGTCATTTATGTCTCTATTCTAGGGCATAATATAAGTGCAAAATGAGAATATCAGTAAGTCAATTTACATCTGATATGTTTCAATGAATTGAAATCATGACAAATAGAAAAATTAATACATTACAATCATGTTTGGCATACAAGATTATAATAGGATAGGATAAAATAATATTATGAATAGGATTAGATTAAATAATGTTATCTTATTTTGTGCTTGATGTATACAAGGATTAGGATAAGATAATTTATTTATTTGTCAAAATTATTCTTCTTCAAAGTTTATACAATTTAAATTATTGATATAATTTTTAAGAGTATAATTGGACATGTAAGTTTAATCCCATAGATTAAAAGGAATCCTCTCCACTTGGGAAGAATTGAATAATCTTATGCCAAGAGGATATTAATTCTTCTTGCTATCTCTATCTCTCTTTTTAGATACTAATCAAACATGATATAAGATAATTATCAATAATATCTTATCAATAATCCTATGTAAACACGACCTACATACCTTATCCAAGTCTTTGACAATTTTGGCTTCTGTGGAAGAATTTTCTTCATACTCTGTCCATAATTCCTCTATTTCTTTCCCTGCAATCCAATTAAGCAGACAAATTATGTGGAATTATACATAATTTTGAGATTTAAGACCACCCCCCTTTTTTGTGTTTTCTTTTTATAAACAAATGGGGAAAAAACAGAGAGTAATTAGTTAACCTCTTGACCCTCCACCAAGTAATTTGCACATACAGTCTAACGCTTCCCGCTCTCTTCGACTCTTCTCAGCCTTAGAAATACCATCTGAAGGGGTAATATCACCAACAATGGCTGTTCAAACAGATAGATAACTAGAATATTATGATCGTTCGAAACAAATGAATAAAAAACTGAAAATTCAATTCATTCAAATTTAGGCTAAAGAGACAATCTTTTGCCCAACCTTCAGCAATATCATGAACAATTGCCATTTTAACGCACCTAAAAAAATGAAGAAAAAAATCTTAGCCAATGCAGCAACTGAAATTTGTTCACCAAATATTAAGGAAAAAAGTAGGACTAACTTGTCTCGATCAATTCCGGGAATATCACAAGCAATTAGAGCCATTAATCCCATTCGATACATATGATCAGCTATTGATTCTGGATTCTTTACATCTCTCCGCACCCAACCCGCTCTCTTCGTCGTCTATACATTTTAACTTATTAAAATAATAACAATAGTAACAATTCACCATTTTTATTTATTCGCTACATAACTATGCAAAAATTTTTTTAAAAAAAAGAAAGAAAATGATTTATTGTTGGAATAATTAAATAAATACCTTGAGGCGGTGGCAGAGAGTGAGAAAATCGATGGCAGAGGAAGCAGAGGGAGGAGGAGTAGTAGCCGCAGCCACGTCATTGGAAGAGGCGGGAGCTGGAGGAACGATATGGTTACCGTTGGTGACGGAAGAGTAAGATGACGAAGCCATTCGGTGAAGTGTAAAGGCAGTGGGTGATAGAGAGGTGCGGGTGAGGAAAGATTTGAAGCTGAGTCGAGTTGAGGAAGTGAAGGAGGGGACTAGGAAGACCAGTGAGGTACGGGGAAACGCTCGGCTCCCACTCCTCATTTTCTTCTTTTTCGATTTTCTAAATTTTTTTGCCTTTTTTCCAACTTTTTTAATTAATTTATCTGCTGCGTCGCGGCAAATATCAAATTTCAGGAGAAAAACAAAAAGGGTATATTCGGGAATGTTGATTCAAAAGTTTGATCCACGTCACAATCAAATTAAAAAAAATGATAATTTAATATTTTTGTTTTTTACTGTTAATGTTGAAATTCAAAATTTTTATTTGACTTGTTAAGTATTAAATATGATCATTTATATATTTATATTTATATATTATTATTATTTATTATGTATAATATAAAAATTATTATTTTATAATTTATGTTAATATATCAAATATAAAATATATATTTTTATTTTTATTAAATATATATAATTTTTTAAGATTTTAAACTGCATTATTTCAATTTTTTTTAAAATCATTACATCATATTTGCCATCGTCAATTTTACATAGTATTTAGTTAAGAAAATTTAATATTATTAGTTAACTGGAAAGAAAGCATTCCGGTAAAAATAAAATAGAAAGAAAAGCATGTTACTAAACCTTACATAATTAAGGAGTAACATATCATCGCTGTTGCTTTGTTAATTATACCAAAAACATCAAATTAAGAAGAGCTTAAGGAACACAAGTCCCAAACTTGGGAACTCCTAGGCACAGTGGCGGATGAATTGGTAGAAAAATGGGTAGTTTGGGCAATAACATTAACCAGCTGGTCATGACAATTTCGCCCCATGTTCAGCAGCTTGTCACAACAATACTTTGACACAAGCCCGATATCTTTGTCAGTTACTATGAGAGAATCGTTCCTAAATATCAGATCAAAAATCTCATCCCCGCACTCATCTCCTAGCATTACCACGCAACGCTGGTAGAGATCCTCCAATTGTCCTGCATCAAGCGATGATGAGGTTATCATATCATCGTCGGTAACAGCTGAGGGCGAAATGTCACCAATATCGACGTCATTGTAAGCAAGTACTGGTGAGATTATGGCCAGCTCACATGCAAGTAATAAAATTGCCAAAATTAGGATGGTAGGAAAATTAAACTTTGGCATGGCGATTGCCGATTTTAGCCTTTTGGTGCTTAATTATAAAGAAATGTGTTGCAATGGGGGAGTTTGAGGGCGAAATGATGTATTTTATGTAAGAAAAAAGGTAGTGAAATTAATTTACGGTTTTATGTTTCGAATAGCATTAAGTTTTTTTTTGGCTTAAACTTAATTTTGTTTAAATCGCTGCAAGTAACTGCTTCTAACGTAAGTACTATGCATTAGTAAGCTCAGATTGGGGTTTGCCAAAAAAATAAAGAAGCTCAGACGAGTGAATTTGCAAAATTAATACTTTTTGGCAGCTAACAGGTTTTTTAATTTTTTTTTTTCAAAAAAGCAAATGTTTAGCTTTTAAAATTGATTTTTTACATTTTTTTGTATTTATTTGATAAAAAATTAATCAATCAACAGAAAATAACTTCCTGTCTCAGATGTAAGAGGAAGTACAGTTAAAGTTTTATTTGCTTTGCAAAAAATGGCTTTTAAAATTTTTTTTTTAATCTTTTGATATTTATTTGATAAAAAATTGATTATTAAAAAATGATTTTTTGATCAATGAAAATTAGACTTTTTTTTAAATTATCTTCCTTTTTTGAAAAGTGAAATACAATTTTCAAAAAAAACTATTTATGAATAAAATTATTTACCAAATTGATCAGCATAGTTCTATTTAAGTCAGACTTTGAATATAAATTTTTAAGTTTGAGTTTAATTCAACTCAATAGAAAATATTATTATATTAATAAAAAAATTTATTTAATTTTAATTAAAAATTTAAAATATTAACATTAAAAGTTTAAATGTCTATATTTTTACTCCGGATTTTGGACATGATTGTTTAAGCTTGAACTAATTAATTCAAACCGAAATATTATTATATTAATAAAAATATTTTCATTTAATATTATAAGTATTTTAATATTTTAATATTCAATAATAAATAATATTAAATTATAATTTTAATATTTAATATTAAATATTAATAGAGTAAATAATATTTTATTATTTTTAATAATTAATATTATCTAATATAATAATATTATTTTACTAATATAAATATTTTAAATCATTTCTTACTATTTTTAATTTTATAATATTTTTTATATTTTATTGATAAATTTATTTATTTACTATTTTAATAGTATAAATATTTTTAATATTTTAATAATAAAAATTAATATTTTTAATACTATGATATTAATAAAAATAATATTTTAAGAATAATAATATTATTTTAAATATTTTTAAATATTAAAATAAATAATAATAAATAATTTTGCTTTAAGTGTTTAATATTAATATAATATTTTAATGTTAAAATTATTGTTAAAATCTAATTCTTTTGTAATATTAAGAATGTTAATAATAAATAATTTTAAATAATAACTAATTTTTAATATTTTAATAGCTGTATCATTATTATTTAAATAAAAGATAAATTCTTTAAAAAAAATTAAATAATACAAAATATTTTTTATTGACTCATCTAAATAATAAAATATCTTTATTTTTTTAAAAAAAATATAAACAGCTTTAAAAAACATTTTTTGAAAGTGAATTTGTATACAGAGTCTAAACTTTAAGAAGCATAAAGTATCTTGTTTGTTATTCTTTTAGCCTTTTGAATACTCCATTTTGAATTAAGGATGTAGTCCCACGTGCAAAAGTACGATTAAGGGGGCTGCGACGGAGAGTCGGAAATCGTCTGACCATCTAGACTTGGAAGGGTAAATGTCTACCATCATCAAGTTCCTTTATGATTCAATCTCCATGTGAAAACATGGATGATAATAGCCTTCTTAGTCATGTGCTTTTGGACCCCCAAACTATGCAATGGAAATGTACATGACCTTATTTACAACTAGTTCTCTTCGAATGAGGCAAGGAAAGATATGTGCTTTACCTGCGAGTCGGCTGGGCTATCTTGATGTTCTAGCATGGTTTCTGATAAACAAGGGGTTTTAAGGTTAAGAGTGGATAAAGGATGATTTGCAGCTTTGAAGCTGGGGATATCACAGATTATTCATTGCTATCAGCTGATATGGGCAGATTTGTATGGAAGAATCTATGGCCAGCAGAAGTCCTTGCCAAGATCAATATGCTTTGCTGGAGGAGCAATCCTAGTGATGGTGAACCTGGAAAAACGGAAGCTCAATGTTGAGAAGAGTTGTTTTCGATTGGTGTAAAGGATGTTCTTTCCTTTAATCGCTCCGTGACTGTTCTGTTGTACAAGAAATCTGGTGGCTGTTGGTTTTCAATTGGGATGTGGGTAATATTAATTAATGACGAGATGCTGCATATATCTGGCTACACCAAGTCTGCCAAGCAGGTGATGAGCAGAAGCTCCAATTATCTATGATCACTGCCTGGCCCATGGCATGCAAGCTCCAATTCAGAAATGCTGAATTACAAGGTGAGGTTCGAATAATTAAAGAATCTACGTATTTTATCCGGACATATCAATGAATATAAGCAGGTGCAAGTGAGGCAAACTGGACAGGCACGGCCAACTTCTCGGCATTAATGGACTCTACGATTTAATGAGTGTACAATGTTTGACTTTGATGGTGCGCTGGGCATTGCTAATAGGATAGGAGGGGTGGGTGTTGTAGTCAGAGATTCTGAAGGTGCAGTCTTGGGAGCTTACACTGATAAAATTTCTAACATTGCTGATTCCCTCATGGTGGAGGCAGTAGCAGCAAACAGAGCATTAGAGTTTGCATATGATTTGGGTTTTTATTGAGGGAGATGCGTTAGTCATGACGTAATCTCTGATACTATTATTCATGCTAATTGCAATCCTGGTTCATGCTAACTGCAATCCTGGTTTATAAATGAAATCCTGCTTTCAAAAAACAAAAAAAAAACTTTACCCTTATTAGGTCCTGAAAACCATTTAGTTTGAAGTTTTAAGTTTCATTAAATATCCAACATTGTGTCAAATTTTTTGGTTTGGTTATAGTTTTTGCACAAAAGAGATAACGACTTGAAAATAAAATAAGAAATTATAAATGTTAAAATTTAAATCCCAATTTATTGAAAGTAGCTACATAAAATGCGAAGCTTTAAATTCAAAATGAATAATTACTATATAATTTGTTTATTAATTAAAGTTATTAATATCGTATGAAATAACGTTTTGATTTTTTTAAAAAAAATAATATATGTTAGAACCAATTGTTTTAGTAAATTAATTCGGATTTTTTAGTTAGTATAAATATATTTATAAATATATATAAACTTGTAATTTTATAATTTTATTAATAATTTACAAAATAAATATACAATATCTTCAAATATCAAATAAATAAATTTAAAAGTATAAAAATAATATCATTAATTTTTCATTATATTTTTAAACATTAAATCTGACAATATGATATTTAAGTAAATTTTTTTTCATACAAATATTAAGATAAAAACAAAGATATGAAAAAAATTAATTTTGGTTTCATAATTGTTAAACTTTAAAAATGGAGCATAATTGCTTTCTTAAAAAAGATTGAAATACTTATAAATTTTGGTTTGAAAAAATAGAGTATTAAAGAAAATAAGTTAGAATAAAAAAATTAAAAACTCAATTTTTAATGGTTATTTTGTCAATTAATTTTATTTTTATTAAGTTAAAAATAGTCAAATAACAAAAGATAAATTAAAAATTACAAAACATATTTCACATTCACATATTGACAGAAACAAATCAATCCATTGAAATTCACTGAAACTAGCTAAAATCAATGAAAACAATTGGTATTATTAAGTACCAAATTCAATACCAAAAATCATCATTAAATATTTCATATTTTAATATAACTGGAATGTATCCCTATGGTCAATACCGAAATTAACAACATGTTATTGATTAGTATTTTTTATGAATTACAATTATATATATGAAAAATTATTAATTATGATTATAATCTTTATTACTTTGCAAAAGTAACATAGATCCCTTGTTTTCATAATTCAAAACATCTATTTTCTTTTTTGCTTTCATATTTCTACCCATTTTCATTTTTGTTTTCTAAAAATTTATTTTCATTTTCAATTACCTAATACGTTGTTACTCATTTTTTTATTTTTCAAGAAAATGAAAACAGAAAATGATTATGTTTTTTGAAACCAAACACTTCCTTAGCTTTTCTTGTGGCTTTATTGAAAGCATGGCTATTCACTTATTTCCTGTGTACCAGGTGCCTTCTTTCTCTTATATTGAGCTTTTCCTCCTCTGTTATGAGTTTGTTTTTTTTTTTCTACTACTTTTTTCCTAGTTTTTCTTGGCGTACAAGGCTTCCTATTTGCATTTTCTTTTTTTTTTTAGTCAATTTTTCCTTTACGCTTCTGCTTTCAGTTCTTTTCTGTATTTTTTTCTATTTTTTTTTCATGATTTCTTGCTTCACCTTGTCATAACATATAGATCCGTAAATCTATAACTAGACTTAACAAAATGAATGGAGTTGTTACCAATCTTTTTTATCTAGGTGTGATTGACCACCTAAGGAATCTATCACTTTAAGGAGTTCTTAAGCTTGACGAAAGGTCTCTAAAAGAATAGGTTCGAGTCTATAAATCATAACAGAGTTTAAGAGTTCGATTACATATGGAAGAAGATTATAGTACCTCCACATACCCATCCAAAGGATGGTACCGTATTATTTTAAATTTATCCTATGGTCTTAAGTATAATGGTTTCAAACTTGATATTAAATATTGAAAATAATTTTTAAGATTCTCCATCAATCTAGTAAAACTCTTATAAAAATACTTCTTCATCTCATGAGTATTCAAGAATCTCATTTAATTCCTTGAAGAGGCTCCATTGTCGGAAAAAGGTTTAATATTATTTATTTATTTATTGTTGAAAATATATCTAATTATTCCACCATTTGGACCAAATTAAAAATATTTTCTCTTTTTGAATTCCTAAAATTTTCACCATTTGGGCCTATTTAGAAATTTTTTTTCTTAGAAAAAAATAATATGAAAATTATTTTTATTGAAATTTCATCTAAATTATTCTACTATTTGGGCCAAATTTAGAGAAAATTTCTCACCTAAAGATTTCTTAAGAATTTACTATTTGAAATTTCTAAGA